TCGACGGTAAGGGAGAGCTGATTGGGATATACCCTTTCTGCAGAAAGTAATTACAATGTTATTTATTTTGAAGAACAGAAAAATTAAATGGCAAGGAATAAACATAAAATTAATTAACTAATTTTACTTTACAAAAAATCTGATTTTTATTGTATTCAATTTTGTTAGACTGAACTAAAAAACACATGTAGTTACAGTTTAATAAAAGAAAGAAAAAATTATAACATGGCAATGCGTTATCCTAAAAAAAGTTAGGTTATGCTAGACTACATAACATATATATACATATAAGAACACTAAACAGTATATTACTGTAACGTAAAGTAAATTTAATGATAAAAATAAATGATAAAGTGCGAAAAAGTACGAAAAAATTAAAAAAAAATTGAAATAATTTAGAATCAACGAAGACGTGGTCGATAGAAATAGGTGGTTAACATTCTAGAAATTGTATCGAGCATAAGTTTTACTTTTAATTATATTCATGACTTTATTAATGTTTCAAAAATCAGCATTTTAAAAATATTTTTTTATTATTTACAATAATGTAATTATTATATTACCCAGGAGCGTGCATGCGACCCATGATGGACGATTTTCCACACCAAAAGGCAGTATCAGTAAAATTCCGTAAATTTAACACATGCAATCAGTAATCCCAGAGACTTTAGTTCGTCTGATCGACACAGGGGTGTAAAATTATCGTACGCGGCAGAAAATTATCGTACGCCCCGGGAAAATTTGAATTTGAAATCCGACAATTTTTCGGACGCAATTTTCAAAATGTGGAAAAAGTGTCCAAGTTCAAACTTTTTCAAAGTTGATGACCTTTTTTTTAGTAATTTTATCGTAAAAACGGTAAAAACGGCGTACGGTAGGGAGAAAGACTTGATCGTACACAGATCGTACGGTGGTGGTTCTAGAGATTTCGAATCACTATCGAAAAATCGTACCCGTTTGCAGCATTTGATTACTAAAAAAAAAAAAAAAAAAAAATGAATTTTGGATCGTACAAGGCTTCAAATTATCGTACGTATGAGATCACTGGAACCTAGATACCAGGAGGGCGATCGACATAGGAAAATAACTAGCAAACGCGACTGGAAAGATCATTTTCGGAAATACGCCGCTAGGTTTCGTTATGTTCGCTAATGTCAAGTTTATAACGTCATATTTTTCATTTACAATTGTTGACAATACTGCATCATTAGCAATTGTATAATGTTCTTTTAATTTATAAAAAGTAATATTTATTTAAAAATGGTAAATAAATGTATTGTTCATGGGTGTACAAGTGGACGAGTCAAGGATCGCAATGAGAATGCTAAATTAAATCAGAGAAATTAAAAAAGTCCAATTAAAAGTAAATTGTAATTTATTATCGTAAATTGCACTTTTTACAAGACTAGAAATTTCTATAGCATAAGTAGAGTTAAAAAACATTTGCATCATTGCATTTTTTTATATTAGCAATTAATAACTATCAATTAAGGTTATATTACCTGTGGTACACTGAATAAAGACCTATTTCTCTGATTTAATTTAGCATTCTTATTACGATCCTTGACTTGTACACCTATGAACAATACATTTATTTACCATTTTTAAATAAATATTACTTTTTATAAATTAAAAAAACATTAATACAATTGCTAATGATGCAGTATTGTCAACAATTGTCAATGAAAAATATGACGTTATAAACCTGACATTAGTGAACAAAACGAAGTCTAGCGGTGTATTTACGAAAATGATCTTTCCTTTGTTTTCCAGTATTTACTGTACAATTTCCGATGTCGATCGCCCCCCTAGTATCTATTCTCCGTGGTTCTGATGTTAAATTGTTCTCATACGCGTGTAATTATTAATATATGAAAACGTACACGTGAGGTAAGCAATAAAATTATTATCAAAATCGTTAAAAAATCGTTATCATGTTTTTTATTTTTTATTAATATTTAAAAATGAATTTTATTTATTGCCATTTTACGAGTTCATAACAGTAGTATACTAGAGTATTTAAAAATCAAAATTGAATTTACTACAAATTGAAGGTTAAACGATTGTTTAGGAATGCGACGCCAATTATGAACACATCTACGTTATCATCAAATACTTTAGGACATTCAACCGGACAAAGAACATCAGAATCTCAAGATTCTGAGTTAACATCTAGTGGTTCTCATACATGCAAAATCTTGAATCAAATTAAATCTGAATTGCAAGAACAAAAACAACAAAAACGACTTTTGAAAGAATTGCATCTTAAAAGAGTACAATCCCTGCGCAAAGAATTAGAATACCTTAAGGCAACTGAGTGGAAGTATCAACCTATAGATCGGTATGTATTTTGTTTATTTTGATTAGATAATTATTTCTTATTGTTAAAAAAGATGAAGTAATGTTACATTAGAAAATATATAATATTCATAGATATTTGGATCAGAGTTACAGAAACTAAAAATGTTATCTTTAATGTATACTCTTATTAATAATGTCTGGGGAAATAAAAATTCTTCACAACCAGAAGATGATATAAATACTATTATATCCCAGATTGAAAATATTACAAGTACAAACATATTGTTATCAGAGAATACAGAAAAATATAATGAAGAAACCTATAACGGAAAAGGATGTTATTATACAACAGGAACTGTTACTTGTGTTAAGGAGGATTATATTCTTATAAATAACCATTCTATATGTGATACCATTAATATACAAACTAAAAGACCTAAAGTTGGAGATAAAGTTTATTACTTAGCATACAAAAAGAGTGAAGATGATGAAGAAAAAATATGTAAGATTATATCAGTAATGGAAGAATCTTGGGATGATAGTGTTATCACATCGCAAGAAAGAATTATGAAAATAGATATATTTACAAGAAATATTATTGGGAAAGTTATTAAACGAGTGGGAAGAATTGTATTTATTAATCCTGGTAACATCTATTTTGATCTAAACAAGATCAATTCTGAATTTGTACCTATAGTTGGTGACTGGCTTCAGTTGGAAGCTTTAGTAGAAGTAAATGATAATAATACTGATTTAACTGGAGAAATTTTAGAAATTAATAAAATACAAGCTTTAAGACTTACAGTGGATATTGATAATATAACTAATTATGATCCTATAAATCAATGCGGTACAATTGGAAAGAATACTTTTTTTTATAAAGCTGCTTGTGAATCTGGTTACGTACCTTATGTAGGTGACAAAGTAGTAAGTGATTCTATAGAAAGCGATCAAGGCATATATTCATGGAGATCTTTGAATGTTGCTCCATTAATGGAGGCAAGTAAATATTCATATATTGTATAACAATTCCTAATTTATTTCAATATACAATTCATAATGATTTATTTTTAGGTTCCAGATAAACCTAAGGAATTACCAACATTAGAATCTTTCAAGGCTTTTTTACCACAACATACTAATCTGGATGCATTGATTAAAGATAAATATGGCATAATTATTACCAATAACTTAAAAATCAATGTAAATTTAGAAGAAGAGAAAGATATATTTGTTGAAATACATAACACAAGCCCTGATATTCATACCTTGTGTCAAGGAACCTTTATGTCAATGAAAGCACAATCGCAATTGTCTTTAATATGGCCTCAAAAAAGAGAAACTATCGATTTGAATCCTTCTCAAATTATTTCCTATCAATTTAAATGCAATCCAAAATTTGTAGGAACTTCTGAAGAATTATTTATTTTCCATTTTAAAGGATTCCAAATAGGAAGAGTTTTTACAATAACAGTTAATCCAAAAAATATAAAATCTCAAAAACGGCAGAATTATAAAAAAGATAACTATGTTCGTAGAGATCGAGATGATAAAGCAGTGTATATTCCGGGAATTCGGCCTTATAAACCATCAGTTCCTTTTAAAACCCGTACTTTGTCATTTAAAATACCACAGCGCTTTTGGGATGTCATAATGGAAAATTACCATAAACCACCTAATGAATATGAATTAGCAATTGGAAACGAAATACCTTGTCTTGCACAAAGACTGTCTTTCGAAATATATAAAGATCGTTTTCATGCTTTATTATATCTGGAAGAAATTGAACAAAATTTTAATCTAAATAAATATGACATGGAATGTGCTACAATGAGACCCTATAAAGATTATCTTTGTTTACAAGTACTTGGTCTAGCAGAAAAACGACCTTCTCTCCTTATTGGTGATAAAGCTATAATCTCCTGTAATTGGCATAAAAATCAAGGTGTGTACAAATATTTGTTTTTATTAAGAGACCAAAATCTTTATAATGTTGTTTTGTTTGTTACTGTGTCAATTCAATTGAAATGAAAAATTATATTTTTTTTTGACATCATTATTAGGTAAAGTAAAATATGAAGGATACATTCATAAAGTGACAAACACAGAAATTTTTCTAAAATTTAATAAACAATTTCACGAAATGTATAACAACGAAATTTGCCATGTATCATTTAAAACTTCTACTGCTGTTATGAATCGTTGTCACAATGCTGTTAATTTAGCAGTATTACATTTAGGATCTGATTTTCTTTTTCCTACTCGTATTATTGAAAAATGTCCACAAATAATTTTAGATGAAATTGATACCGAAGAAAAAAAACCTCATGTTAAAAGAAAACTCAAACGATACGAATCAATTTCATCTATATCTTCAAGTACAACTAGTGATAGTTCTGATACAATAAAATCATTGCCAAGAATGTCAGTTGCAGAAAGACTTTTTAAAGTCAAACCAGTGGAACAATCTAAGAATATAACAGAACATCCAAATTTGGCAACAGTTGATCGTGCTACTGATAATCACACTAAAAGTAATACTAATTTTGAAAATAATAAAGATAATGATATAAATATAAATAAGGATAAAGATAACAATAAAGATACTCTTGATTTGTCTGTAACTCCAAATTCTCCTATTACCAGTAATGATTTGAAATTAGATGAATACTTTTCAAAAATAAAAAAACAAAAGTTAAATTGGTTTAATAAAAAGCTAAATTATTATCAAAAAGAGGCTATAAAAAATATCTTAAAAGGATTAGCTCGTCCATTGCCATATGTGATATTTGGTCCACCTGGTACAGGGAAGTCTGTTACTCTATGTGAAACAATTCTACAATTATTAACAATTCTACCTAACAGTAGACTCTTAGTTGCTACACCATCAAACAGTTCAGCAAATTTAATGTTGGAGAGACTATTGGATAGTAATATTTTGAAACCTGGTGATGTGGTAAGTATTTTTTATATTTTATTTGTTTATAACTATATCATCAAAGACTTTTTTTAGGTACGACTTATAGCGCAACATTGTTTAGATGATGGTAGCATCCCATCACAATTACTGCCTTATTGTACAACTGTAAATCTAGGTCTAGAAGGACCACTTGATCAATCAGAATCATTTAACCGAAAAACTAATATAGTGGATACTACAATTGGACGTCATAGAATTACAATTGCCACTTGTTCAGCATTAGGAGCGTTATTCAATGTGAAATTTCCTCGCAATCATTTCTCTCATGTACTAATAGATGAAGCAGGTCAAGCAACAGAGCCAGAAATTATGATACCATTAAGTTTTATTCATGCTGATTATGGACAAGCAATTTTAGCAGGTGATCCATTACAACTTGGTCCAGTTGTTCAGAG